TATACTTGTAACAAGTAACAACAAAAAACAATGCCACCGTCGCGCGTCGTGACGCCATCACCACACGGCACACATAGAGCGCTGACACTGCATTTATGTCCACATTATAGATTCATTATGACAATATTTTAATCGATAGAATCGGGGAAAGTTGTGAAGTTATGAAAAAAAAGCGGAAAAGTTGGCATCGCTCTGCTGTATGTGGGGTGGACCTCTGACTAGGGTAGGTTAGATTTGAATGCGATGATAGGTATCATTGTATACGAAAAACGATTCTGAACGGAGATGATTTGTCAGTCTAGGATATATTATATTTAAATATTGTCATAATTCTATCTTGAAACAAATNGGACTGCCGGCGTTATCGCTGTTTTTCCGATTGTTATAATTTAAAAGCATAATGAAAAAAAACATAATAGAAAACTTCAATTAGATATTTAAGAATTAAGTTTGTAATATACTAATATACAAGTTAATATGGCATAAGTTATTATATAAGATAGATATAGTAATAATATATATTAGATTATTTTATTTTATTTTTAAATACAAGAATGATTATTGTGCCCTCCCTGTCAAAATATTCTGGATCCGCCGCTGTACTCACACGTCGACCGACCTGTGTATAGGTGTGTAGCCGTGTAGGTATGTGTGTATAGCGACCCAAAGGAAGTGGATGGGTTCGCCGAGCAAGACCAGGGGGCAGGGAGTGTTAGTGAGTGGTGGATGTGTGAGTGTGTATAGTGTATACGATTAAACTAATATTTAAAAAAAATTGCAATACGTTTCAAGTAAAAATGAGTTGCTGTATAATGTACAAATTAAATAATATTTGCAGATACAAAAAACCACAGCAACATCAAGATTTTACAAGAATAATCCCTTATGGCTAAACAAAATAAATGTGAATTATAAATGTGCAGTCCTTGTGGCTGACAAAAAACAATTTTGGCACTTCTGGCCCAACAGAACAAAGCTATAAATGTATAATAAATTATATAATAACGGCTATTAGGTAGTCTAAAGCCGTACCCGAGGCCGTACCTATAGCTTAATATTAATACAAAATGAGACCCATCTGGTCCAACAGAATAATAATAAATGTTATATAATAATTATAATAATTTATATATAATAATAAAAACCTTTTGACCTAAACACGTATAATAAAAATAATAATATAAAATATAACTCACAGTTTGTGGAGTGCAGACTGGCCAGCTGGTCCAGTGCTATAMATTTTATATGATACCCATACAAAAAATGATGTTTACGCACAAGTACAATAAAATTGGCGATTAGCGCCGCAAGATTTACAAGATTCACATTTTAATCACGATGAGCAAACAAATGGCCTTTATGGCGCACAATAACAATGAGATTATATTTAAAGGAACTGGCTGTTCGAGCCTGCAGCTAATATGTAAAAATGGCAACACCTTTACTATTAGAGTAAAATAATTATTACAAAATATCGTGAAGCCGGATATGGAAACGCGCGAGCCGATACTGCTGCTACAACGTTCGGCACAAGAGACAAGACAAACATGTCTCGGCGGCCGTGTTAATGGTATTCACCGCAGGCAACGAGGCGGCTTACGATAACGCATCGAGCGTAATCTATACATTACATAATAATTCACAATCGTACAATTAATACGAAAATATAAAATACAAAAATAGCAACAATTAGATTATGTAACTCTGTGTGTGTGTGTGTG